TAATATGACGCTAAAAAATCGAATAATCTTAATTCAGATATTTCAAAACCTTTGGTATAAGGTTTTGGTGCAGTTGAAACAGAACTTTACTAAGATAACAGGCAGCTGCTTCCTCAGCGGACACCGCCAATACTTTACCTTAAATGCTTAAACGAGTCTTTTGTCTCAGGCAAGTTGATAGAAACAAAAAATACCGGTGAATATTATTCATTCTGACACCTTCGCTTTTTAAAAGAAAATCCAAAAACATTTTTGCAGAAGAAAATGTGACAGGACATAAATTTATTCAATGTTTTTAACCGCATCATTAGACCTCCTTCATTTGAACTGTAATGTCACATTACTTCGTAATTGTTCTCTCAAATGCATTAAGGTTTGGGCTTCAAACTACAATAGCTCCTAAACTTGGATATCAATAACCTGGATTACGATGTATTGGGTCGATTTATGGCCAATCTGAAAAAAAAAAGAAAGGAGAATGATAATTAAGTCGTCTTGGATAAATATTATTGCACTTGGATCGCTGCGTTGGCGATAAAAAGGAGACTTTCTTCAAAATGACATATCAAATTTTTCCTATGTACACAAACGTTAAAACCTTGCACCTGTTATTTCGTATGCAAACGTTGTGGACTGAATGGTTTAAAAAGAGAGTTGTGAGAGCATTTTATGGGACGTGGGTCGACTTTGATGTAAAATTGATTACAAAATAATAAAGAAGCATTCGACTTTTAAACGTCAGTAGACGTTTACGTTAGTGACGAAGTCTCAAAAAAACAAATCGCAATTCCATATAAAGCTAGAAAGTAAAGCTTGGATCCATTTGATGTTGTGGTTTTCGGTTTTAAATCGTTACAGAGCAGAAAATAAAAAAAGAAAAAACAAGTAAGAGCTCGACCTACCCGGAAAATTTGATTTACAAGGAAATTCTGGATCCAATGGAAATTCTGGAAGCTCGCCGATCATTTGCTAAATCGCCAAGCATATACCATTGGTAAAAAGCTAGCGCGAAAAAAAATCAATCGCTGGAAACGTCGATACCTCTAACGCAATTGTATTTATTAATTATCTCGTTCTGTTAATCAGTAAGTGATAACAATTTGTTGAAGCCTCATTAAAACGATTAAGAAAGACAGTAAAAATACAACACGCTTTGGAACCGAGCTTAATAAGAATTTTTCCTGTAATACCTTTTTTTATTTAATATTATTCAGTAATTTTTTTCGGATCCATTGGGTCGACGTATTTTTTCGAGACTCAATGAGCTTGATCACCAAACGTAAGGTCCAGGCTCTCTCAATCTATGGCTCCTCCTCATTCATCTCCAAGCCAAACCTCCATTTAAGCCCCGAGACTTACTTCTAACTTCTCCTTAAAGTTTCATCCTTAAATCAAATCTTAAGGTTATGAGGATAAAGAAAATGATCACCGATTTAAGAAGCTCCTGGTTATCAAACAAATTGTCAATTGCATAAGAAATGTATTATAATAGAGAACAGTAGGAATTAGGAAGAATCTTATCGGATCTCATTCTTGACGGTTTGTATAATCTTTCTCCCTAAAATAAATAAGTCACTTCGATTTAAGGTAATAGTAAAGTTGGGCAAGATCATTTTCGGCTAAATAGCCTTAATATTCCATCGCAAATTCTTGAAGTCACGGAAACCAAAAAAGCTTTTCGCCGTCTTGACCATGATGAGATTGGCGTCAGCTTGATTATTACTATTATTACCCAGTCCTGTTTCATTGATGTCCCGGTGTAACGCAGACAACAACGGTTTCACTGGGTGACCCCGTGGTTCCCTGCGTCTTTCCGTTGATCAGCTGGTGTCTGGTGAAAGCTAAGTCCTGGGAGAAACAAGCCCTGGAAACCTTTTTAGACAACGCTGTGTTTCATTGAAATATTCTGCGCCGAATATCATAAATGCATTTTATCATACTATAAATTTATATTCATCTATTAAGTAATCAATTTTTCAATCGATTTAAGTCTTATCTACTTCCTCGTTTATTTATTGTTTAATTACTTTGGTTTATTTTAAATGTCTGGCTTTCATCTAGCAAATATCTCTTAACGACAGCGTATGTAGGCATTCTTTATTAGGCTAGCATAATCGTCGCAGACCAGACTGGATTGGACGCAACTGACTGGATTTGACTACAATGCTTAGCATTGTTCTTCCCCTCTCTGGATTGTTCTAGACTGCACCACTCTGAATTTTACTTGACTGCACTAGGCTGTTCTGGACTGTACTTTACTAAATTACATTTGACTGCACTGGGCACA